ATGATAAATTGTAGAAAAAAATCTATATTTAAACATTTCTTTTCCGTAAGAATATTAAGGTTTTGGGGCTGGGGATTTAGCTCAGTGGTTCCGCAGCCTGCCTCTCAAGCTCAGGGTCCCAAGTTCAATCCCCAGTACCAAAAAAAAAAAAGAATATTAAGATTTTAGTTTACATCCATTCACATTAAAAGTTTAATTCTGTCCATAGTCTCAAATCCTGAGTTCAGATGTGTTACAGAATTTTTCTTTCTCAGAAAGGTATAACTGTGCATGTGTGCATTTCTGTCTAATACTCACTGTTTTTGTGCTATAAAACATTTGAATAGTTTCACTGTGTAAGATAAATAAAAGTTGTGAGCAACCTAACAGGTTCAGGTCAGGTTATCCTGATGGATGAATGTTGTGCTGTCGCTTGCAGAACAAAAATCGAGAAAACCTTGCAGATCAGGATTGTAGACCTTCACTAAATGGAATAAATAGTTCATATGTAGCAAATATAATTATTCTTTGATTTATAACATTATAGCAAATTAATTGATATTTATAACATTTTATGATGCTAGTATACCAGAATTAAATTAGTGCTCTAATGATAAATGGAAAAATGTACCTTCAGATATTACTGTTACAGGTAGCACTAAGTAAATATCCTTTTGTGTACAGATCACTTTGTTTATACTAAGTTCCTTAGAATGTGTCAGAGGTCATGAAGCATCTTATGGAGTCTGCTACCCTGAAGTTTCTAAAGGTTTTGTGTAAATTTACACGGTCACTAGAGTGGGTGTACCAGTTCTCTGCACTGTCAGAATGGTTGGGTATAAGCATTTACTTTTAAAAAGGGGGAAAGCCCGGCATGGTGGCGCACACCTATTATCCCAGCACTTAGCAGGCTGAGGCAGAAGGATCACTTCAGGTTCCAGGACAGCCTGAACTACATAGCAAAACTCTTTTCTCAAAAAAAAGGGGCCAGGAATTTAGCTCAGTGGTTTTGCCTCCTGCTGTGCAAGCGCAAGGACCTGAGTTCGATCCCCGGTACCAAAAAAAAAAAAAAAAAACCAGGGGCCAGGGATTTAGCTCAGTGGTGCAACCTGCCTCGAAAGCACAAGGTCCTGAGTTTGATCCCTGGTACCAAAAACAAACAAACAGGAGGAAGACTGTTGCTGCTTCAGATATTAACATGTTCATATTAAGTTTACTGTCCTTTCATTTATCTATCATTTAAACGATACCAATAATTTTTGAATAGTTGAACTTTTTTGTTGTTGTTGGTTTGGGTATGGGGCTGATTTTGTCTTTTAAGCAGAGCTTTTTTATTCTGGGATCCCTAAATGCTAAGCATCATGATAGGAGTTCAAGTTTGCGCTTCAGTTCATTATAGAAAAATCTGCAGAATACTTTTGAATAATTTTGGTTTAGTTTATCTTCATTTAGATCCACTGTTGAATAAACTCGCCATTTCACCTGTAGGGTTAGGAAGATCCAGAAGAGCCCTTGTGGCTGTGGTTAGCAGGCATCTTAAAAATGCTTAACCATTGCCATAGTCAATCATCTGAGGTCACTATGGACCTAACCCAAAAAGTACAAAGAACTGTATACATAAAACTGTTCATTATGACGTTATTCTGAAAATATTAAAACTTTATGAGAAATGACTGAAATAGCCAACATTAGATTAATGGTTTTATTTTACTTTCTACCATGTACTTACATTATTATAACTGCTAAAATTTATATTTACGTAAGTGGGAAAATTAGGATACAGAGTTGTCTATATGACTTCAACTCTGTCAACTATAAAATGATTAGAAGGAAATATCTTCAAATGTTAACTGATCATCACTGAGTGATAGAATTAATAGTTATTGGAGTTATACTGAGAAGTCTATAACTAAACAGTGATTTTATTATTTAGAGATGAAGCCAAGATTCCCCTTGATCCATATTGTTATCTGTCAAAAAATGAAAATAACATTTTCTTTTCATTAAGATGAGTAATTTATAAAATATTTATTCTTGTTTGACCAAATAATCTGTTAATACAAAATGGATTCTTGGGCCAGGGATTTAGCTCAGTGGTGCCTGCCTGCCTGGCAAGCATAACATCCTGAGTTAGATCCCCAGTCCCAAAAAAGAAAAAAAAGTGTACAAGATGGATTCTTGAACACTTTTTGTTTTCCTTTCTCTGAACAATCATCTTTAGATTCTGTAAATACTGTATCAGTGTTCTCAGGTCCAGAAAAATGTAATATCAGTTATCACCACTTGAAATCCTTTGGAAATCAGCCACTCCATCCTACCACACATGCATACATGGTTCCCTTTGTGATATACAGTATGCAGTTCTCAACATGTGGTCCACAGACTTGAGGATCATCAAAACCCTCTCCATGGGGCCTTTAGAAATGCTTCAGAGAGACACTGGATGTCATTTCAGTTTTTCACTATGTTGACACTTGGACTGATGGTACAGAACACCCAAGGATAAAACTGCCCAGTAGGCCAAACTGCCAGCACCTTGGCACACAGGTTAGCATTTTGGTTTCAAACTATACTGGTCGTGTTCTTTGCTGCTGTGTATCAATTAAGACCCAAAAAGCATGCCCCCTCAATCCAGTTTTTCTCATGACTACCCTTGCTTGAACAGCAAAATTGTTAATTATGTTAAGGTCTCCCCTGCCCCTTGTACCCATCTGTCCAATATTTGTGCTCAAATGGGAGGTCCAGTGAAACCGTTCTGGAAGGAGGATGATGGTCTCCAGCAGTGATGGCAAACCTTTTGGAGATAAGTGCCCAAACTGTAACCCAAAGCCCACTTATTTAATGCAAAGTGCTAATACTGGAATTAAACCTGAACAGTGAGGTTTTAGTGTAGAAAAAACAGCTTCATACATTAATGGTTTTTGTCTTGAAAGAAAAACAACAGGCCAGTGCCATAGCTTGGCTACCAGTGATCTCCAGCAATAGCACAAGGATGACTGGGCCCGTTGAGAGCTGCACTGGCTGCATTGTTCATGGAGTACCAAGTTTTACCTGAAAGAGCGACTGACAGACTTGAGCATTTGATAAGACATTTTTTATAAAATGGAAGAGATTGGCCTGTCATTACAAGGAAAATAAGAGTTTTTGTTAACCAGTGACAAAGTAACTGAAAGTTTTGTTACCAGTGATTTTGAGTGAAAATTTAATTTAGGAAAATTTGTATCTACCTGCCACTGTGAGCTTGGAAGCTTTCCAAAGACCTGTGGTAAGATTGAGCTGATATTAACATGTTAACATGATTTTTAAAGTATTGTATAATGAAACATACCAACACTGTTAAGATCTGCATAACTTAGTGACATACATACTGTATGTTCCAAACAACCATTGTTTGATGTTACAGAATTGTAGGTGGGTAAAAGATCCATTCAGAACACAGGATAGACCAATAAATTGTAACAGTATGAAAAGTTGTTTGGTGGGGTTTCCAGTTCTACAGGGAACTTTTTTTTTTTTGAGACATGTAGTCCAGCCTGGCCTTGAACTCACTGTGTGGGCCAGGCTACCCCTTAACTCATGGCAATCCTCCTGCCTCGGCCTCCCGAGTGCTGGAATTATAGGCATGTACCACTATGCTTAGCGGGAACTAACTTTTGAGAAACTACGACTTACATAATTTTGATGTAGCAAAGAATATTTACAGTTATCCTTTTCCATTGACATTTATGTGTATGGCCAAAGTTTCATTTATTTCAAACAAAATAACCAGTTGTAGTAGTTCAGATGCAGAGTCCTGCTGTCATGTATTAAGCCACACCAAAATACAAAAACACGAAATGGGCTTATTACTTACTGCCACTTAATGTTTGTTAAAATTTCTCAGTTTTTCTTTATAGTTTGGTGAGTATCATTAGCCATAACCCACATAAACAAAAGCTTTTGGGGATCCTCAAGAATCTTAAGACATATGAAGGGATCTTGAGACCAAAAAGCCAGACAGCTGCTTCTTTAAGGTCTTGTGATACAGAGTGTGGACCTGGGCATCCCTGAGTCACAGAAACTGGAGCCCCAACCCGGTGCTACTAAGTGAGTATCTGCAGTCCAGGGAGATCTAGATTCAGATGGTTCTCTGCACCCCCAGAAGCTCCATCTTCTGGGGTGTGGAAGCAGACAGGGGCAGTGCAGCAGCAGCAGGACCTAGCGGGAAAGTGGAAACGCAGGGAGCGAGCAATGGGAGATTTGGACCCAGAGCCCTTTTCTCCCATAGCAGGTTGCCCTCTTCTTATGTCCTCTGGTTGTGGGACTTTATTGTCATACAGTTTATCTGTCTGTAACTGCTTGTATTTCTGATAGAAATCTGGGCTCAGAAAGGACAGACCACTCAATGAGAGGTGTCAGAGATGGGAAACCTGCAAGGGGAGCACCCAGTCTCTCCTGGAGCACTGTGTCCACGCGGGCACAGGCATATTCCTGAGAGATGTGTATTCTCTCAAGTCTGAGTCGTTCTTATTCTTGTTCCCGAAGAGATCTGCCGTTGCTGTAGATAGAAAATGTAGGCCGAAAGGATCTCACATTTTACTAACAGATTTATGTTTATCTCAAAATCAGTTTTTAGGGCCGGGGATTTAGCTCAGTGGTTCCACCCCCTGCCTCACAAGCACAAGGACCCGAGTTCTATCCCCAGTACCAAAAAAAAAAAAAAATCAATTTTTAACCTTTTAATTACATATTCCCTTTGGATATGGAGTCCTGCCCAGAAGCATGCTTGTAATCTCATCCAAATAGATGATCACTTGTGGTATCACTTATACAAAGCATTTTCCAAGTTAGCCATCCCTTGCAGAGTTAGCACTTCAGCAGTGTAGCCTTTTTATATATTTTTAGAAGAGTGCATTGTTCAGTCTGAATTGGTGGCTAAATGAAGTATGTTTGGTGTAAGTGTACAACCAGACAGTGTAATATAAAATGTTGTAAGATCTTCCATTTCTAAGCCCTCATAACTGTTTTCTTCTTGTTTTTAGGGTGAATCTGTAAAATATTTCCTGGATAACTTGGATAAACTTGGAGAACCAGTAAGTTTTTAAACTGAATATTTATACTTACTGATATTGAAAGCAGTAGTCAGAGTATGATTTTATTTGAGGGAAGCTTGTTGGAAAATTTAGAAATATGTATTAAGCAGTTTGGTTCTTCATTTTTCCTAGTGGCAGTAATCTAACTCATCCTGCTTTATTATAGACCGATTAGCAGCTAAGAATATTGAATTTTTTTTCAAAATAAAAAAATGTGTTTTTCAGTTATGACACCTCTTTTTTTCTCCCCTACTGTTTAGGCCTCTGCCAGTTTCCTTGAAGAATTGTCCTATCTACTATTACATGGAAGTAAAACCATTAAGATTTATTTTGGAGATGAAATTATACATTACTATCTTTTGATATTGTTAGGGCCTTTTGTAAGCAGAAATGGAAAGAACACAATGGGTTGATTGATTTTCAAACCTTGTGGCAATTGCCATTTTTCAGTAGAGAGCTCTTTTGTGTTGAGGTTCCATGTGGGAGGCTTGACTGTGGAAGCAGTAGTCTGTTATCTTCTCTGACTATTACTCTCACAGCCAGTGACTCTCGTCTGGCTCTGATGTCCTAGGGCCAACACAGGCATAAAAGGCCACTGTGTGTACTTGTTGGACACAGAAGAGTTCGTTAGAATTAAGGTTTCTACTGCTTTAAAAATGTTTTGATGCATTGCCCTGGAGTCATTCTTCATTAAATCTAGCGTGGCTTCATTTGCCTCTTCTCAAATTCCTTTTATAATGTAAATATTGTCTGATGGATTCTGAGGTTGTAAACCAAAAATATAACTTAAGAAAAGCACAGAATGAACCTGTTTCAAGTAAGAAAGTAGCATACAGATATATTTAGGACATGTGAAACAGTATGCTCTTTTATCCCGTCAGGTTAATTTTATATCATCCCTGAGTTTTTCTAAATTGTATTTGCCTTTAAGCCAGCACATTGTCCTTTTGCTTGTTCTGTAGACACAGATATACCCCAGAAGTTGACCTCTCCATAATTTTTTTATTTTGCTCATCAGTCCACATTAGTAAAACTTTATATTAAAGTCTGCTTTATTATCTCTTTTCCATCTGATCTGATTGTAAACCTTAAAAAAAAAGTTAAGAATAGACCAACTGATGCTAAGCCTTGGTGGATGAAATAGTAAGTTTTTAGAGTAATTTCTTTTTGTCTATGCAGTGCCAGTGTTGCCTGCTCCTCTCGAGTCGTCTTTTCTGATAGGCCTTCCATGAGGACACCCTTCAAGTATATCTCCTCTTAGCACTCAGTGTCAGCCCTCACTTTTTTCCTTCATTGCAGCTATTACGGTGGATATTATTATATGTTTATTTTTGGTTCCATTTTTCTTTTTTTGGTACCGGGAATCAAACTTGGATCCTTGCGCTTGTGGGGCAGGCTGTGGAACCACTGAGCTAAATCCCCAGCCCAATTTTATGTTTATTTTTTATCCGCCTCTTTCCATAAGGGCCAGGAAGTGAGTCTTTGGTGCCTAGTGACAGTGCCTGACATGAAGTAGGCATTCAGTGAATAGCTTCTGAATAAGTACTCTAGGCCAGTTTGTAATGGCTGTTTTCAGTCTTATGTTGAGACAAATTGGGAATAAAAAGAAAAGTTAATGTGGTCAGCATGTAGTTGAAAAAGAGGGGAGAATAATCCTGAGTGTGTTGCATTTTTGTCACCCATTTTGTGCATATTGGACAAGTTACAGGATCATATTTTCAATCTATCTCTTACTAAACGTCCCAGAGTCTTTGAAGCCTACTGTATGCAAAGCTCAAACAAGTGGCAAACCTTTTAGAGCTTTTGATGATAATAAACAGCCCGCTGCAGCATGCATGCCATAGGTTCGCCGCCACTGCTCTGTACTGTTCTGGAAGGTGAAACAGGACAGGGGTCAAGAACATGGGCTCTGTAGCCAGACTGCTCGAGTTCCTGCCCCATCTGTCCCCACCTGGCTCTGTTGTGACCTTAGGAGCTCAAAAGTACAGATTCTTCGTCCGTAACATGGGCATGACAGGAGAGCTCAGTTCATAGGGTCATGAAACATTTCAGAAATAATCCTTTAAAAAGTAGTCATGTAGTAAATGCCCAGTGTTAGCTGTTTTGTTCTTTAAACTATACACTAAATAAAGGAGCTCAGTCTAGTCAGAGCTATAGCATATACAAAATAAGTAGTAGACAATTAAATGATACCAGTCACAAAGATAATATTAGTTCATGAAAGAGTTAGCGAACCTAACCTACCTGAAGAGTGGGTTGGATTTAGATATATAAGATATGTTCACCGAGTTGGGAGACAGCTGGATGGGTTTGGTTTTTAGGAGGCACATCTGTCTGGTGAAAGATACATGAAGTTTTTGGCTCAGATTTTTGTAAAGACGGACTTCTGAAAGGCGGCAGCTTGAGTTTTTTCCATTGCACGCACGGGCATTGTTGTGCAAGTGGATGAATAGTAATGGCAAGAGAAGTGAAGCTCTGTGCAGGTCTTAATGCTGGGCTTATGGTGAGCTTGAATAATGCAGGACTGCATCTGCAGATTCCAGAGAACAAGCCAGTCAGCAGAGTTTGATCTGATGAAATAAGCAGCCACATCCCAAGTTCAGGAGTCATCTGGAAGAGGCTTGGGAGTAGCTGAGAGATGGGTCCAAGAGATGTAAGATGTTTGGGGGAAAGAATGACCCATGTCTGAGACAATAAATGGGAGCAGTATAGGGATAAAGAAAACATGTAACAAAGATTCAAAGAAGGGGCAACAGGGTTCAATACAAAATAGTATTGACAGGGACAAGTTTAAGGTGACAGGAAGTCTTAATGAAGTGGGCAAGAGGTAGAAATAGCACCCTGAGGGCACTTAGAGGGATTGGAAGAAAGTGAGTTTCTGATTGAGTAAATGTGTTTGATTGTGAATAGTTTATCAAGTGCAAATGGTGGACCTCTACAAGTGTGAGGCTAGAGTGGAAGTGTATCTGGGCAAGCCACCCTCCTTTGATTCTGCTCTTCACCCTGCCAGATGCAGTTCTTACGCACTGTACCCATTTAACTCAACCTTTACTGCAACTCTCTGAGTACCATCTGTATTTTATAGTTGAGGGGATTGAAACACAGAAAGGTCAAATGATTTGTCCCAGGTCACACAAAACTACAAGCTGGCTGTAAGATTCACACTCCTAACCAACATACTCTGTTCTGCCAAACATTTAGCACTCCGTCACATTGTCCTGTATGCTGTGCTTCATGCACAGGAGACTTTACTTCCTAACTAGATTGTTGTCTTGTAATAAAGACAATTATAGAGAACTATCGGGAGGGGGTAAGATAGGGTCTTGCCATGTATTTCAGGCAGGCTTCAAACTCATTATCTTCCTGCCTCAGCCTCCCGAGTGCTAGGATTACAGGTGTGTGCTACTCCACTGTCTGAGAACTTTTTTTGGGGGGGGGGGTACTGGGGCTCAAACTCGGGTCTTTGCGCTTGTGCAGCAGGCGGCAAAACCACTGAGCTAAATCCTCGGCCCCTGAGAACTTATTTTTATGGAATCTGAAGTTTTCCAAATACTTTAGAGCTGGCACATCCGAAATAGGTGGCACAGATATTCACGATAAACTAGTACCACCTTCTGGAAAGTAGTCTGTGAGTGTCCAAGTTCATTAAAACATTTGTGCCTTTGACTTCATAATCTTATTACTGATTATTTTTGTTTCAAAAAATACTCCAAATGGAAAACTTACATGTGCGAGAAATTTAATTGCAATATTTCTTTCTTTTTTTTTTTTTGGTACCAGGGATTGAACTTGGGTCCTTGTGCTTTCGAGGCAGGTGGCAGACCCACTGGGCTAAATCCCCAGCCCAAATTGCAGTATTTCTATTAATTAGAATAAAAAATTAGAAACAACCCAAACAACCTAAATTCCCCTAGTAGGGGAATGTTAATGTAAATTACAGCACATTAATACCTTTGATATGTAAAATCTTTTACAAGGAGATGTCACAGTACCAATATACAGAACAGGTTAGATGCTAAGGAAAATTCTGATGGTGGGCTAGAAACAGTGCACATATGCTGGTTATCAGAACAGGTGTGCATGTGAACAGAAGCCAGAAGAAAATATGGAAAAGTTAACACTTTAATTGGAACCCTGGAGTCATGCTATGAATAGCTGTGGAGTTCTAGTAACTAAAAACTGCCTGCTCTTCTTATTCCTAATCCAGTGCACCATTTTGAGGAGATGAGTATTCATGTTGTAATAAAATTTGAAAATCATACTTCACTACCTGGTAAAAGCATAAAATATTCACAGCATTGTGAATAAAAACATTGTTTTATATCCTGCCTTGATTTTTAAAATATTTTGACCTTGATGATGAACATTAAAATTTCTCCTGTTAGGGCCAGGGATTTAGCTCAGTGGTTTTGCTGCCTGCTGTACAAGTGCAAGGACCCGAGTTCGATCCCCGGTACAAAAAAAAAAAAAAAAATTTCTCCTGTTCATCTACTGCCAGAAAGCTATGTGAACACTGTGGAAAAGTACTAGCCTAAAGAGGAAGGCCCACCTGCACTGCATAAGGAAGTGCACTGCTCAGGAGTTCAGGAGGAGCTCACTTGATATTTGCACAGACCCTCCCTCCCAGGCAGATAGACCAGGTGTGACTGCCTCCATTTCACGGGCAGGGGTGTTGACATTTAGACTAAGTGGCCAATTGTGAGTTCTTGGGTCAACATATGAGAAAAGTAGAACATAACTACTTGAACTTTCCCCTGGAAACAAACCTAGCAGGTGTCCCCAAAGTACATGTGGCTAATTGCTTATACATGGCACCGCAGTTCATGAACTGAACTCTGCACAATTCTGGTTGCAAACCAAACTGGAGAACCTAATCAAATTACCCCATAAGATCCACATTGAACCTACTGAATTTGATTCATTTCTCATCCAACTTGGTTTGTGGGCCAGAATCGTGGAAAGCATAGTGTGTGAACAGAGGCACCACTCTAGTTGAGAAAATGTTTTCCACACATTGAGTGTAGCAGCAGTGATACTGTGGACCTGCTCTTACATTATGAAGAGGCGGTGCACAGTACAGGAGCGTTTAGAATGGGTTAGAGAGGAGTGGACAGAAGCAGGCACGGAAAGTGACCCTAATGAATCGCATTGGATTCAGACCCTGCTTTGCATAGAGGAGCGGGGTGGGGATGCTGAGTGTGAGAGCAGTGAGTTCACCGTGGCTGGATCCATGAGTGGGTAATAATAGGAAGTAGAACTGGGGTGGGGATGGGAGAGGACAGCTGGTGCATCGTCTCCAAATGTGAGTAGCATTGCATGGACGAAAAAAATTGTAGATGCTGGTCATTTGCAGTTAATTTTGAGCTGTTCTTTCTTTGTGGCTGCCCCACCCCCCTTTCTTTTCAATACTGGGGATTGAATTTAGGGACTTGCACATGGGAGGCCAGCACTCTACCACTGAGCTACATCCCTAGCCCTTTTTTATTTTTTATTTTGAAACAGTCTTGGTAAATTCCCCAGGCTAGCCTCAAATTTTTTATCCTCTTGTCTCAGCCTCCTCAGTAGCCAGGGCCTCCTCAGAAGCTGGGATTACAGGCATGCCTTGACATTTTTTAAATGAGAATGACAATAACAGTACTTGATGCTTTAATGTATCAGAAATGTCATGTAAAAGATCATTTTGTGTGCATACCCATTCAGTAGACCAACTAATAACCCATTAGAAATTGTATTAATTACTTCTCAGTTACTAAGTATAAACCTTTTTTCTTTTCCAGGATTACATTCCATCACAACAAGATATTCTGCTTGCCAGAAGACCTACTAAAGGCATTCATGAGTATGACTTTGAAATTAAAAATGTTCCTTTCAAAATGGTTGATGTAGGTGGTCAAAGATCAGAAAGGAAACGTTGGTTTGAATGTTTCGACAGTGTGACATCAATACTTTTTCTTGTTTCCTCAAGTGAATTTGACCAGGTGCTTATGGAGGATCGACTGACCAATCGCCTTACAGAATCTCTGAACATTTTTGAAACAATCGTCAATAACCGGGTTTTCAGCAATGTCTCTATAATTCTCTTCTTAAACAAGACAGACTTGCTTGAGGAGAAAGTGCAAATTGTGAGCATCAAAGACTATTTCCTAGAATTTGAAGGAGATCCACACTGCTTAAGAGACGTCCAAAAATTCCTGGTAGAATGTTTCCGGAACAAACGCCGGGACCAGCAGCAGAAGCCCTTGTACCACCACTTCACCACCGCTATCAACACGGAGAACATCCGCCTTGTTTTCCGTGATGTGAAGGATACTATTCTTCATGACAACCTCAAACAGCTTATGCTACAGTGATGTATAAAAGACTTGCTATTGTAATACCTTTTTGTGTTTTTGATTGTTTTCTGTTTGTTATGTTTTATTTTTTAAAAATAGCAGTTTACAACAGGAATTAGAAAAATCTTGATTCTAGGTAATCTTAGTCCTTGTGCGCCTTTGGTTTGTGGCCAAAAACTGCTGAATAACGTATCACCAGTATCTGCTGGAATTCAGGCTTTGATCAGTTTCACCATGGCTTCCATTCAAGTCCACATGTAACCTGGCCAATCGCAGACTAGGTGTATGTCAGGCTTTCCATTCCTCCACTTTTCAAACAGAATTCTCCTGTAGTGCCAAGTGTAGACAGCACCCTAAATACCTGTAGGAATGAGGTTAGGAATAGCTCTAAAACAAGTAAGAGATCTTCAGTCTACTTTACACAGACTAGTGACGCTTACTGCCTACCTTTAGGATGATTATTTTGAAACGGCTGTTGGAAAAAAGTTCAATCTAAGGAATGGCAGGCTTGTCAGTTAACACAGGTGTAGCATTCATGTGTTTGTAATTGCTTACAGACACAACAGCTGTTTTTTGTTTTTGTTATTTAATTTCTGTGGTTTCTGAAGATAATGTTCTTAGTGTTTTAAAGTTTACATAAGGATTTCTGGTCTGATGTGAAAGAGTTGACAAATGGTACCAGGGAGCAAAAGATAAGCAAATACTATATATAATACTTTGATCAAAAGTGATGAGTGAAATACAATTTGCCTTTTTCATGTTTGATTATCATGTAATTTAATGTGCCATAAGAGAAATATTTTGGCCACTGCAGCCACTATAAACTACAGGCAAACTAATAACAGAAACAAACATACCTGTTCCAGAATGCTGTGTGCTTTGCTTTTAAACCTGTCTTAGCTGATCTCATTCCTTACAGGAGGAAATCAGTTTTGCATTGTTGCCTCTTTCTTTTGCTCCCTGTCTAGCCCCCAACAACTCCAAACTGTGGCATTTAAGGGGTTCTTTTGTTTATCAAAGCTTGCCAAGGGCAGTATTTTCATGTCAAACTATTCAGGAAGGTATTATTTGAGATTCCTGTTCATTCTTGGTATGTTGCTAAAAGATACAGTATGTACGTGTTTGTGTAATTATTGTTTATGAGAAGCCAACTTTGTTGAGGTACATTTTAAATGTCTTAAGAGTGCTTCTAAGAATAAGTAATCTTTTCAGTTCACACCTAAAGATGATTGCGTTTGACCTCCCCTCACTGCTTACCAAATTTAAACCATGCCCATGAAGTAGCTCTGTGAGTACAAAATGATTCTATCATAGTGAACTCAGCAGAGTGGCTGGTTTGAAGTACTAAAAATGTTGCATGGTAGGTTATACGTAGTGTTAAAATTGGATTAGAGGTACAGATGTACAAGGCTGGTGAGAGTTTGCAAAGTCTGACAGCTTTTCTACTTTTCCTGAAAATTGTGATTACGACTGTGATATCTGTTAGCTTACTGTGTAGCTGACTGTATTCTCAGGTGTTTCATTGATCCTTGAAAGACCGGTCAGCATTTGGATCACCCAGCGTTTCTAAGTCACTGGCTCTTGTTCTGTTTCTCTGTCAGGTATGAGAGCAGGGCCTTTCGGTGTGCTAGCCAGGGATTTGTTCTTGACACACCTAACTTTTCTTGCATTTGAAGTTTCACTGTCATTATAGCCATATGAATTCCAGTGCATTCATGCCTTGAATATTGAGCTTCAGAAATGTTGCTGGACATCATAATGTTGATAATGTAACTCATGCATGTTGGAATAGTTTTACATCTACTGCTTTTTGCCTAAAAAGAATACCTTGTTTAAGTTCACAGGATTAGCATAATCCACTGCCAATGAATACTGTATCTGAATATGTGCATGGTAACATTTGGTCTGTTTGGTGGTCTGTGTAAATTTAGCAAATAGTTTTATTTGAATGGCCAAGACATTTGACTCCTGTGAAGGCTGAATTCCCTGTAGAAAGTGGACACTTAGGCTGTGTAAATTATATTTAAGGTCTGTGATAACAATAAGTATTGCCTGACAAAGCAGAAATCCCCAAGCTTCTCCATTTTGACTATTCCCAAGAAATATTAAGCCACCAACTAGATATGTTATCATTTTGGATATTTGCAGTTTTCTTCTGATGCATGTAATGTCTCAGAATCACCATTCTTTTCAAAACCTAGAATATATTTTGAGGCAGTAAGTTACTTGTATTTAAGTTACACAGGCTTGTTTAGATATTCAGTAGAATTGTAAAGTTCAAAGACTTTAGTCCCACATGTTTTTGTATAGTATATTTTTAAACCATTTGAAAGAAGTTTTTTAACTATCATGAAAACCAGATCCTTTTTTAATTGAAATACCACTGTATGAAAAGGGAGATGAAATTTAAGGATCAGAATTTAAAAGGTGCTTGTAATCTTCACCCACTTCCCTTCAATCTCTAAAAAAGTAACTCTGATGTAAAGCTCATTGGTGTATTCAGTTTCCAAATCTTTGGTTATGATTTGGAACAAAATGTGCCTAATTCTTAGATATTATGTTCTGTTTGTAATTCTGAATGCTTGCTCATTGATCTGAAGAAATATCATGTCTTTGTTGACGTGGAAGGAATTTATAGTATTACAGAGTTGCCTTATAAGTCAAAGATCAACAACCTAGACCTTAATTTTTATAGTTTTTTTCAGATGTTTTCTAAAGACCTGAGCAATTCGAGGCATGCCTCTACCACTTAAATACTTTAATAGCCTGAATTGTTGCTTTCTGCCAAATACTGTATTAAATTGAATCTTCATTTCAATATTATTATGTGGGAAGGGCACTTGACAACTGGAGTACAGCTGCAGCTGAGGAATAAATACAGTGAGGAAAGAAAAAGATCATTTTTTGTTTTCTTTTAAGTTGTGTTGACTAATACTTAAGAAAAAGTCCTATGGTTAATCTTACAAATACAGGCTGTTTACTGAAATCCTTGTTCAGTTGGTGGCAGTGGTTGATTTAAATTGATACCAGAAATGATTAGAAGTATTGATTTAGATTAAACAGAAATCTTGTGCTCTATAATTAAACCTTAACTTTCAATGTATACCTAAATACTTGTATCTTCTGCTTTTGATAAAATGTATTTTTCAGCCTTAGTACACATATCTGGTTATGCCTTATATAAAGAATAAAGTTACCAAATTATGCTGTTATGTTCTGAAACTCAAATCACTATTTGAGAAACCCTCAAATTGGTGCTTTCATTATTTAATGATGCATTTAGACAAAACCACAAACAAGCCATTTGAAACAAGATTCTCTCCGTTGCCATCTGTAGCAATGTTATTTCTATATATGTAATGAGAAGGCTAAATAGCAGTGTTAACTCTTAATTTCTTGTTTGAATCCATGGAATCATGCCTATAAGACCAAGCCAAACGTTTGTAACAAACTCCCTAATAAAGCTAGAGAAGTTACCCTTTCATTTCTTTTAGTTTTATTTGAGGAATCAAGAACAAGTTTTGCACATGCCTTTTCATTTGGAAACCTTAACAGTACTGGTTACTTTGGTCTTTTTCCCATCGATTCAGCATGTGATATAATAACAGATGATACCTTTGTGTTGTGCTGCTTGACTAAAAATACTGTTTTTTTCTTACCTCCTGACCTCCCTCCTTTCCTTCTTTCTTTCCTTTAATGCTAGGATACCAGTTGGCCTTTCAGTCTAGAATTTAGTAAACATGAAGAGGGGAGAGATTACAAGTGGGTGTGTATGTGTCTCCGTGTTCCAAGTAAAGCAGATGATTCAGCATACACCCCTTATTTTAGGGTACGAGTTTAGGGCTTAATAAATTTATACTAAACCTGAATGTTTTACATCAATTGTTCTTTGGTTTTTTCAATACCATCAAGTAGATAACAGCCTCGGGTTGGTAGGTGGTTATTAACATCATTTGAAGTACAGTATTTGAACCACTTACATTAGTATGTCTATCATGATTGTATAGTTAGTACTTAATATGTTCATCATTCAGGTATAACTATATGGTTTCAACTACCAGAACTTACACAGAACGTTGTTATTTTTTTCAAGGCATTAATGCTATGGCAATATTTTCCGAGTTGATAATTGGGGTCTATACAAATCTTCTGTTAATGATGGATTTATACAATGAATTGGAGTCTGGGACCCATACATAATAGCATAAATTTTCATTCAGTGAATGTCGTTGATAGTAATAAACTACTTGGTATGTGATGTTAGTTTGTATTTTAAAAGCTTGTTTATAATATTCTTACCATACTAAGTGATGATTTGTCCTTGGTCTATGACTGATGACACCAGGAATAAAAGGGAGAGGGAAGGGATTAATCTTTGTTATGTTTATTTAACAATGCAACAAACTATGCCATTTACCCTTTCTTTACCCCTTACTTGAAAGCAGACTCGCAAAATATTTTAAGTGGCTTTTCTCTATTCTATGGTAATTTATCACAAGAAGCCTTATCCAAAAGTATATTTTGCTACAACCTCTTACATACTGTATCTAGCAAAACATAATCTGTATTAGCTCTGTACAAAAATATTTGTGGCTTAGGGTTTTTTTTACCTATATCTTTTTATAACCTTCCAAGAACTAAGCACATTATATGATTGTAAATTTTTTTTGGTCAGTGCTTTAGTTCAGGATTGGCAGTAAGTTATTTCTAAAGGAGGTCTAAAAGTGGAAAGGATGGTTTGATTTTATAAAATGAGTTGCTATTCATTAAGGCTTTTTGCTTTTGTAAACATTTTGCCAAAAAAGTTTTGCCTCTTTCTATTAATATTTGCTTTGTAAAAATTACTGACATTTAATAAAAATTTATAAATGATTTGATACTATGATGTTATTTAAACTAACAGTTTTATAAATGTAAGGAGATGGTAAGGTTAAAGCCTGAAAATGAAATTTCACATAGTGATTTAAGGCACAAAAATCTACTTTGGCACATCTCTAGCAGTACACTTTGCCTTACGATTAGTCTATAAACTTTTTTTTACTAAAGCTGGAGATGCGGACTTCTTCCAAGGGAGTTCTCGGGCAGGTGGTATGTTCTAACACGGGAAGAGGAAAAGGGAACCACTAATTTTTTTGTTCTCTTTACAGTTGCTGAAACTGCACTCAGGTATTCTGGACTCCTGGGGTTTTTAGCTGTGTAGTCCTGCTGCTCTTCTTGTACTTTAAGTAACATTTTAAAAACTAATCAACATCTTAGCACTTTTTCTTCCAGTAAACTTTATTTTAGAATATAATTTACAGAAAACATTGCAGAATAGTTAGGATTCTCCTATAGTCCACACCCCTGTAATAGCTTCCTCAGCCTCTTGCATTATTAGTTTGGTGCATTTGTCATTAACGAGCTGATACTGGTAATGTTATTCACCAGAACCTCATAATTTATTCAGATTACTTTTCCCTAATGCCTTTTTGCTGTCCCAAAACTCATCTAGGGTCCCATGTTACATCAGTTATCACATGAGCTGTCACCCTCAGCTCCTCGTGGCTGTTGCAGACTGTTTCTCATGCTTCCTTTATGCTTCCCTTGTTTTTGATCACCTTGGCAGTTGTAAGAATATTTTTTTTAACTTTTTTTTTTTTTTTTTTGGTACCAGGGATGGAACTCAGGAGCTTGCACACTTGCAAGGCAGGCGGCAGCACCACTGGGCTAAATCCCCAGCCCTAGTTTTAAGAATATTACTGATCAAGGACCCGAGTTCGATCCCCGGTACCAAAAAAAAAAAAAGCAGCTAAAACTCATTGTCTAGCACAGTGTTTTGCCACAAGGTTAAGTGACACCATGAGGCACCACATTGGCATGGGATGTGCTCTCAGAATGACCTGTAACACTGCCTGGAATGTAGGTGGTTGAAGAGAAAAGATTTAAGTCTTTTGAAAATGCAAGAAACTCAAGGTTTACAGGTTGAACCAGAGATTTGTTTTGGTGACTTGGGAAATTTGGCAGATCTTCAAAAAACCAATGACCTAGGGCAGTGTTATAAAATACATGCTGCAGTTTTTCCTGGGAAACCGGTGAGGCACCTGAAAAGGCAGCATTAGAGTAAGAAGTAACTGAAAATTCTGAGCAGCTGTTTTGCAGGAGTCCCTTTTTCTTTGAAATGTACCAGGAAAACCAAAGATTTCAATACACGCTATCTAGTCACGGTGGCTCACCACAAAAGTACTGACGAAAGATGTGCCCAGAAGTAACATTTACACTGCACAGGGGAATGTGATGATTTCTTCTCCCATGGAGCTACATGGCAGGAAAACAAGCAACCAAGTCTTTATAAAAAGTTGGTAGCTTTGGGGAGTTTGGTTTATTTTGTTATTGTTTTGTTTTGTTTTTTGGTTGTTTGGTTTTTCAATTACACTGCAGCTTTCAATAGGCTTGATTTGATTTTCTGCCCCTGTCAAAAGTTGAAGAGAGAACAAACATATTAGATGAAACCAAAGTCCAAGCATGCTGACCTTGAGAGAAAGCTTGGCTGTTCCACTCTCCTATTATTTCTACACGCAAAACCCCAGTTTTGTGGAATTTAGCTTGCTGATTTATTCTAACATCAGAGTGAGAAAAATCCTGAAAAGAAAAAATCATAGCACTATGGCTCAGCTTTTGACAAAATGACAAGCTAATTTTCTACAGGCAGTCTTAGCATTTGTAGCAGAGTCTAGTTTGAGGGAAGATGCTAAAAACCTGGAAAGAACACATTCCAGAGAAAGGAGTGCATGTCAAATGTTATGGAAATGATGAGCATCAGTCCAATTTAGGTGCAATGGAGAGCCATTACTTTCCTAGGCTGTGTATAACAGAATAACACCCAAACTGCTCACCCAGCATTCAAAATACCCAGGACCCACCAACAACCATCCTTTCCCAGGCCAGAATACAACAGTGGTTACCAGAGGCTGGGAAGAGTAGTAGCAGTGAGACGTTGAGGTCAGGTCAGTCAGCAAGTTGAATAGAAGTTCTGGTGACCATACAAAATGTTCACATAGAGTATATTTCAGAAAACCTAGAAGAAAAGATTTTGAATATTTTCACCCCAAAGGGCAAATGTTTGCAGATTGATACACTTACCCTGATTTGAACATTATACAATGTAGACATGTACCAGAACATCACAGTGGGACCCACAGAGGATGTACAATTCCTGTGTGATTTAAAAAATGACAAGGGGAACCAAACTAGATGGCTCATTTTCCCTATACTTCTCCATGGTTCTCTGCCACAGGGCAACTCCTACTTACCTTTCAAAGACCCACTTGAGGCCAACTCTTCATGGACTGAAACATTTAAAACTGTGAGCCAAAGTAAACCTTTTTTCTTTTTAAGTTGATTGCCTCTGGTATTTGTTACAGTAACACAATGCTAGCATGCTCTTTTTCACATTAATTTTCCCCATAGATTACTAAAACCTTTTAAGATGCATCACTCCTGACCCTATTCTACCACAACCACTATAAATTTAGCATTTGGTTCTGAACTCCTCTAATGTTCTTACTAAATCTAAAATTTCATAGATATTCACATGGATAAAATTTCATGGATATTCACAAGAGTTGAAACACATTTTATGGCACCTTAGAACAGAACAGAAAATTTAAAAACTGATCCCATGTTCTGTGAATAACTGGTTACATGAATAGTTCTCAGTTTGGGAAAGATACTTTGAAATCATTTTTTCCTCTTTTATTTGACAGTGACTAGTTCTCATCCACATTTACTGCAGCTTTGTGAACATGATAACAGGGATATAGGTTACCAAGGTATAGAGCTTGTTTGGTGAATCTTCATCCCCATTACATTTTCTGGACAAAGGCACACAAATACCCTATGGGACGTTCCTTATTTCTTTGGCCCAGGCATCTGTGTTGAGCTTAGTGTCAGGGTGTCAGGGTACATGTCCCAAGTGTCCACCTCCTTCCTGGATCTCCTTAAGGCCCAAGAGACACACTTCTTTAACCCCACTCCAGTGGGATGGCTTGTAAACGTTGATGGTATATTCTTGGTCACCACATCTTAGGTGGCAGAATGGCCCTTCTCACGACTCTGCCCAAGTTGGAAAGGAAGAGCAGGAGACATTGTGGGAGCAATATTTTAAAATCCTATAGTAAATAATTTTATCCATTTAGTAATAAACAATAAAATGATTTTAGTTCTGCATTGTAAGATTAACTTTGTTTTATTCTTGTGTTCCTAGGTTTGGGGTGGTTCTTTGTTTTTGTTTCGTTGCTTCTCACTTTGGATTTTTTTAAAAACTTCATTACAAGAGATTTCAAGCACACGAAAGTAAAGATAATAGTATAATAAATCTACACATAAGTCAGCTTCAGTGGTAACTCCTGGCCATCTCATCCCATCCATATCTGCACCTTTCCCTTCCTCCACCCAAGATTTTGTAAAACAAACCCCACACGTCATACCACATAAGTAGTACAGAAAACTTCAGCATCTCTAATAAGAGTCTCTTAGTTTGGCAGTTGTTTTATAAATCATTTTTCTGATAGCTACATTAAAAAAAAATTTGATGGAGAGTCTGTGGTCTCCAAAAGTTTATAAATTTGGAACTGATCTGAATCCTTCATTCCAAGAATCTGACTCATTTCTCAGATTGTATTTCAGTTTTTTCGGGGTATCAGATCTTCCCAAAACTTAGTGACTTAAAACAACAGCTACTCTATTTGTGTCTCAGTCCATGAGTGGAAGGTGTTCTTTGGTCTGGGCGGCTGAGCTGGTCTCTGCCGCTGTTCCATGCACAGCATGCTGTTCCATGCATCTCTGGTCAGTTGAAGAGTTGCCCTCACGTGGGGGTGTTAGTGCCTTGGTTCTCCTCCATATGGGCTCTCATCTTCTGGTAGGCAAGATATGAGATTCTTGGACCGTATGTTGGCTTTAGGGTTGCAAGCACAGTAGAAATGAAGCCCTAATGCAAAAGCCACAGCCTGCACCATGTTTGTTAAAGACCAACTGGCCAAGCCAGGCATGATGGTGCTTGCCTGTCATCCTGGCACTCTTGGGAGGTTGAGGCACAAGAATTGCAAGTTCAAGCCCAGCTTGTTTAACTTAGCAAATTAGTGATACACTGTGTCAAAATTAAAAAGGGCTGGGGATGTAGTTCAGTGTGAAGGCTCTGGACTCAATGCCCGGTACAGCAAAAAAAAAAAGCAATTAACTAAAGCAGGTTATTGGCCATCTTGGATATATTCATTCTCCACCTCCACCACCCTGAGCCTGAGCCTTACTCTTGCTAGGCAACCATTCTACCACTGAGCTACATCTCCCACCCTTTTTATTTTTTATTTTGAAACAAGATGTCCTTAAATTGCACCTCAAACTTGCTTCCTCTTGCCTCAGCCTTCTGTGTAGCAGAGAGAACAGGGATTATAGGTGTGTGCCACCACACCCAGTCCAACCCAGATTCTGTATCTTTCTCTTCCTTTGCGTGTGTGTGTGTGTGTGTGTGTGTGTGTGTATGTGTGTGTGTGTGTTGCTAAAGATTAAACCCAGGGCCTCACATAGCAAGCACTCTACCACTGAGCTACAACTCTGATTCTTTTTTTCTTTTTCTTTTCTTTTTTTTTTTTTCTTGGAGGCAGGATCTTACTATGTAGCCCAGTAGCCCAGGTGGTCTTGAACTCCCAGCAATCTTCCTGCCTAAGCCTCCTGAGTGCTGGGATTACAGGCGTGCTCCGCCCAGCTCCAACTCTCATTCTCAATGGGACAATTTTTTTATTTTACCACAGATGATTCTCTCATCCAGTGTTCTGCCACAGGCAACTACAAAGCCAGCACTGGCGAGCCGTCTGCATGAGAATCCAGTACTATTTTCACAAGCCAGGCCCTCTGAAACAGGATCCTTAAAAGGTAACTTTCCAGAGGAAAGTGCTGGAGAAGTGATGTTTTGAGTCAAGAAAACAATCTTCCTATTAGGGTCACAGGCAGGCTGGATATCCAGGGACATTCTTGGCGATATGGGGCTCACATCCAAGGATGTTCTCATGATTGTTTACAAAAGCCAGCTCAGCACTATCAGTGAGCTGGGCCCCCAGAAGGACACTTGGACACAAAGCTCAGGCTTTATTCGCTGGGAAGTTGATACTCACTTTAGCCACTCCTCCACAAAGATCTCGTCATAATGTACAAATGAGAATTTGAGCTTCCAAATAAGCACATGGAAAGCTGCACAACGTCTTTCTCCGTCAGGGAAATGCAAATTTAAGCCACAATAAGCTACCGCTTTGTACCTACTGGGATGACTATAATAAAAAAGACAACAGTGAGTGTTAGTGAGAAACCTAATTCACTGCTAGTGAGATTGTAAAAATACACCCCTTTGGAAAACAGTTTGACAGATCCTCAAAATATTAACTGTAGGTACCACAGGATCTAGCAATTGTAATCATAGATGTGTATGTAAAAGAAATGAAAACATTCATGCAAAATATGCATATCAGTGTTCATAAGAGCATTATATACAATAGCCCCAAAGTAGAAATAACCTAAATGTCCAATAGCTGATGAACAGATAGATAAAATCTAGTACATCCCAATAGTGATTGCTCCGTAATAAGGAGAAATGAGGTACTTACACGTGCTACAACGCGGATGAAGCTTGAGCATAGTTTGCTAAGTGAAAAAGTCACAAGCTGCTTTGCCCTTACAGTCAAACTCCGATTCCATGTGCAGAATGTGCACGTGTGAATGCACAGAGAGGAGATGAGTAGCTGCTGAGGGCTGGGACAGGGGAACCGGTGACTGAAGGTGGTGGGTGCAGGACTTCCCGGCAGGCAGGTTCTTACTGTTGTGGCTTTAGATGGCGATGATGATTGCACAACTCAGTGAACACACTAAAATGCCGAGCTGTTCACCTGTAACGGGTGAGTTCTTCTCTTTCACACTTTTATTTTATTAGTGCGTAGTGGCTATACAGATTAGTGGTTTCATCTGGACAGATTCATACTTATGCAGAACTCACCTCGGTCGTGTTCACCCCCATCCTCCTTGCCCAGGTCTCCCCTCTGGTTTCATATTCTTTGGGGGGGGTCAATCAATTATGATCATCTGCATCCCCCCATTACCTGCCCTTACACCCCTCCTCCTGAGTCCCTTCTTCTCCTTGTCTTCTTTTGTAGGTTTTGCATATTAGAAAGAACATATTATATTTGTCTTCCTGAGTCTGCCTTACTTTATGCAACATGATGATCTCCAGATCCATCCATTTTCCTTCAGATTTCTTTCCTCTTTATTGCTAAATAATATTTCATTGTGTATATATACCTGTCTCTTTTTTTTTTTTTTTTTTGGTACCGGGGATCAAACTCGGGACCTTGTGCTTGCGAGGCAGGCGCCGGAACCACTGAGCTAAATCTCCAGCCCACCTTTCTCTTTTTTTTGAGACAGGGTCTCACTGTGTAGCCCAGGCTGGCCTTGCACTCATGGGAATCTTCCTGCCTCCGCCTCCCAAGTGCTAGGATTACAGAGACATACCACCACACCGGACACACAATTTTTTTTTATTCACTCATCTATTGATGGGCACTTAGGCTTGCTCTATATTCTCTTCCTCATCAGTATTTATTATTTTTTAGATTCTTGACAATAGCCATTCTGAGATAAGATGGAATTTAATGTAGTTCTGTTTGTTTGTTTTTTCAAACAGGGTCTTGCATGTAGCCCAGGATGACCCCAACCTCACAATGATCCTCCTGCCTCAGCTTCCCAAGTGCTGGGATTATAGATGTGCACCACTACGGCTGGCTCAATGTAGTTTTGATTTGCGTTTTCCTAATGGCTGAAGATGTTCATATACTTATTGGCTATTTGTGCTTCTCCTTTTAGAAGTATCTGTTCAATTCATTTGCCCATTTATTGATTGGGCTATTTGATTTTAGATGTTTTTTGAGTTCTTTATATAGTCTAGATATAAACCCTCTATCAGAAGAATAGCTGGCTGAGATATTCTCCTAGTCTGTAAACTGTCTCTGTTTATTTTGTTAATTGTTCCTTTGTTGTGCAGACTTTTTAGTTTGAAGTGGACACATTTGTGGGTTATTGCTACTATTTTTGGTGCTATTGGAGTCCTCTTCAGAAAGTCTTTGCCTGTGCCTGTGACTTCAAGTGTTTTCCTTATGTTTTCTTCAAGCAGTTCAAAGTTTCAGGTCTTGGCGGGCGTTGGTGGTATAGTGGTGAGCATAGCTGCCTTCCAAAGTTGCAGGTCTTGTACCCAAGCCTTTGATCCATTTTGAATTGAATTTTGTACAGGGTGAGAGCTAGCAATCCAGTTTCAGTCTCTACAAGTAGGTATCCAGTTTTCCCACCATCGTTTGTTAAAGACGCTGACTTTTCTTCAACATATATTTTTGGCTCCTTTGTCCAGAATCAGATGACTGTAGTTGCGTGGGTTTGAATGGATGAATTTTATTGTATGTGAATTATATCTCAGTAAATCTGTTAAAACAAAAAAGAGAGTTGGAAGGCTGGGGATGTAGCTCAGTAGCAGAATACTTGTCCATATGTACAAAGCCTGGGTTGGAACCTCAGCACCAGAAGAAGGAGGAGAAGGAGAAAGAGGAGAGGGAGAGGAAAAGGGAGGAAGAGGAGGGAGGAGGGGAGAGGGAAGGAAAATTTAATCCTTCAATCCCACAGTTTGCAAAAGAGGAGAATCTGATCCTTCAATCCCTTCACATAGTTTGCAAAGGACTGAAAATAAATATACCAAAATGTTAATTTTTCTTTTCTGAATCACAAGAGTCACAAGGTATTTTGTCTTCTTTATGCTCTTCTGTTTTCTGAACTTTCTACAGTGTGTAAATTGCTTTTATATAGGAAAAATAGTCAAAGACATTTAAAAGCAAAAAATCAACTGTGTGTTCAAGCTGTGGAACGCAGATCTCCTCTTGCTCCCTCCCACGCTGTCACCCTCTTTCTTATTTAACCTCCACGTGTGTACTTCCTTGTCTGACTTCTAGACTGGAGCTTGTCCATTCAACGCTCAGAGTCTAATAGCTTGCTGAAATATATTATTCAATATGCTCAGAAATACGCGTAGAATATAGTGGCATTTGTTCAATGTCTATGGTATCACCTATGTCCTGGACATCTTTGGTGATAAAAAATGATCCATATATGAAATTAAGATGCTCATAGTCTAGCAAGAGAGAGAATACAGGTATATAATCATTTAAACCAAGATATGAAGTAATAAATAACTGTCACTCAAGAGGATTCCCCAGGCAGCTCCTTCCGGCCAGCTGACATCAGGGACACTCGTGGGGAGAAGGCATCTGGGTGGGGACCTCAAAGTTACCTGGACACGGAGAGCAGGAAAGGGTGCACACTAGATGGAAGGAGCAGCAGGGGAATGAGACAGCTGAGAATATTTGATTACATAAATAAGCTGCATAAGCTTTAACTGAGCAGGCTTCTGCGAGGTGCTGGAGTAGAGAGAAGAAACGAGCCCCTCCACCCCACCTCCACCCAGGAAGTTCATTGTTTAGTGGGGGAAACAAACATGGACAGCTGTGAGTACAAGGCAGTGAGACAGGCAGGGAAGGGCATTCTAGGCAGAGAGGACAGTACGTGCAAAGGCAAGATGTCCGGTGGGGCAAAAATACCGATGGCTTGGAAGACAGGAGGCTTTGGGAGTGGCAGTAAGAGAAGCTGGAGCAAAGAGCCAGAAGCGTGTCCTGCGGGGTGTCACATGCAAGCTCAGGCCCTCGGATTTTGTCTGTAAGCACTGCGAGGAGGGAATGACATGCCCCGAGTGCTGTTCTAGTAATTCCAGAGACAGTGATGACCAAAGGAGGCAAGAACTAAAGTTAGGGCTGTTGAAGTACAGAAGAAACAAGAATCTGAACTTAGGCTTTAGCAGTGGAATCAGAAGGCAATGGGTTAGAATCCTAAGATACTTAGGAAAGAAATTTGCCCTGAATGTTGGATGTGGCAGGTGGTAGGAGAGGGTGGGAACTGGGCAGGTCTCTGCTTTTCGCTGGAGCAAATGGGTGGAGTCCTTAGCTCTGCATGAGAAAGACGGGTTTTGGGAACCAGGGTGAGGCTGAGGTTCTTGTAGGTGGGGAGGAGCAGCTGCAGCTGGAGCTTCGGGACTCAGGTTCAGCAGAGAGGTCTGATAGGAAAGAGCAGGTTTTGAGCTACGTGTACCTAGCGGTTGAAGCTGCTGGTGTGGATGAGATTGTTCTGGGGGCTGCCTGACTAGGCAGTGTATCCGGAAGCCTCATCTTCAAGGAGAGGACAGAGATTTGTCCCAGGGAGAGCAGCAGAGGCAGGGGGAACTCTAGCAAGGAGGATAGATGGGAAGAGAGGAGGAGGTCGGGGGAGTGAGAGAGAGGCCACAATATCAATTGTTCGTTATGCTCTTCTTTGAAATGTTGTGTGTGTTTGAAATTTCTCATGAAAAAAAGTTGCATGCTGGCAGTGGTGGCATATGCCTGTAGTCCCACCTCCTCTGGAGGCTGAGGTAGGAGGATCATTTGAGACTAGGAGTTTGAGACCATCCTGGGCAACACAGTGAAATCACTTCAAATGAAGGAAGGAAGGAAGGGATTAGAGACCATGCCCTAGTCAGGGTGATATTTTAAGTGTAATGACAGCCTGAGCCCCCCCACACACACACATACTGTGCCCACACATGAGACTCAGCAATGCTGACTCCATGAACCTTGCAAGATGCTTTCTCTCAGCCCCAGCTCCATCACAGCAAAACCTCAGCCAGCTCAGATGTGCTCCATTTCTTCCATGGCCTTTCTGCTCAATAATTGGAGATCCAATGATGCATGTTTCATCCAAACTTTCAATTTCAACCATGTTTTTTCTAGAAAATTTCTGTGCTGCTTTTTTTTTTTTTCAGTTGGGAATTAAACCCAGGGTCTTCACCCTGAACTACATCCCCCAGCCCTTTGAACAAATTTTTTCTTTTGAGATAGGGTCTTGTTAAGTTGTTAAGCTGCCCCAGCTCTGATTGAATTTGCAATCCTCCTGCCTCAGCCTTCTAGAGTGCTGGATTACAGGCATCTGCCATCACTTTCAGCCCCCCTTTTATTTTGCTAGGTTCCTTAATGAATGAGTGTAGTAGGCTTCAGAGATAGATAAACATGAACACAAGCTTTGAAGTAAGACAGACGTTTATTCAAATCCAGGGCTCTCTGCTTTCTGACCTTAGTGAAACCACAGCCTCTCTGAGCATTGTCAGCCCCACCTATAACACTCATGTGGTCTGTTACATGTCACATGTGATTGTGGCTTCCTCACTTCTGTCCCACCAGGCAAGATATAGGAATTGGAGTAGCTATTTTTGTTTCTATCTACTTCCTTTTGATTCCTCTTTCTTTGCCTTTCTTCTTCCCTTTCTTTCACTTCCTCCTTTTCATTTTATTGGATTTTCACTTTGACAGTTCTCTCCCAAAGCAATTGGAAGGCAGTCTGTGAAATTCTCAGGCTGTCTTACTCCCTCTTGGTCGAGGTTAGGTCTAGGGTTGGGGTTGGGGTTGGGATTAGGTTAGGGCAGCAAATGGGCTGAAAGTCCCCTGAGAGTAGAGCTTTGCTGGTGGTGGCTGGAGAGGGAAGATGTAAAGGGTCTGGAAGTAAAATGTTCAAGATCCCAGCCATGTGGTTGGCTGAGCATCCAATATGTCTTTATTAAATCCACGACCAACACAGAGCAACTTTACTCTCTTTACTATAGGAAAACAAAAACTAGGTATCTTTTTTCCTTTCTCCTTCTTCTCCTCCTTCTTCCTCTTCTTCCTCCTCCTCTTTTGCTATTCTTTCCTCCTTCTTTCTCTTCTTCTTTCTCCTCCTCCTTCTCCTCCTCCTCTTCTTTCTTCTCTTCCTCCTACTCCTCCTCCTCCTCCTTATTTCTTCTTCCTCCTTAGTACTGGGGGTTGAATTGAACCAGGGCTTTCACACTGAGCTACCTTCCCGGCCCTTTTTATATTTTATTTTTTGAGACAGGGTCTCACTAGGTTGCTAAGCTGCCCACACTGGGATCTAACTTGTGATCCTCCTGCCTCAGCCTCTCGAAGTGCTGGGATTACAGGTGTGCACCACCACACCGGGCAAAAACTAGGTGTCTTTCAAAATCAGCCTTTTGTTCAGGCAGATACTAATCATCCTCAGTGGGTGAAGGTTTGAACATTCATTTTTCAAGCATTTACTTCAGGCAAGATGGATACAGAGAAAATGGGTCTCCTCTCATTTTCCTCTTGGCAGTGGGGATCCCCAACAGTTCCTCCC